GCCTTCATGATTAATAGCCGCTGACACCCCTCCCGCCCCCCCAACCCCTCTTGGCCTCATACACCTTCCGTGTCAGTCCCAGCCTCCCAAGGAGAGCAGCCTGCTGCCCCTGGTCCACGAGACCCTCCTCCCAGGGCCGGGCCGGGCCGGGCCGGGTCGGGCCGGGTCCTGTTCTGTACCCAGAACCTGTGCCCCAGTTCTGTGCTGTCTCCTCTAGGGCTCCCTCACGGATTACCTCAAGGGGAACATCATCACGTGGAATGAACTGTGTCACGTGGCAGAGACCATGTCAAGAGGCCTCTCATACCTTCATGAGGATGTGCCCTGGTGCCGTGGCGAGGGCCACAAGCCGTCTATTGCCCACAGGTACCTGGGTCAGCAGTTGCCTTTCCTGTGCTTGGTCTGGAGCTGCAGAGAGGGCTGGAGGGTGAAAGCAGGGCCTGGGGTTGGGGTGGGGAGTCTCAGTTTAATAAAGGTGCTTAGCTGCTCTGTGATGGGCCTACTTGCCCCTTCCCCTGCCTTCCACCCGTGTCCTGGGCCTGGCGTGGCCTTGAGGGTGGTTTTCTCTTGCCCTCTGGTGGCCACATGAGGGAATGCTGACTCCGTCACTTTGGTTGGAGGGTTGGTTCAGCAGTTCTCAGACTTTTTGGTTCGGATATCTTTACGTCCTTTTTTTTTCTTTTTTAAATGTTGACTTATTTCTCTTGAGAGAGCGCAAGCAGGAGAGTAGCAGAGAGAGGGAGAGAAAGAGAGAGAGAAAGAGAAAGAGAAACAGAGGGAGGGAATCCCAAGCAGGCTTCTCACTATTAGTGCAGAGCCTGACATGGGGCTCGATCTCATGACCTGTGAGATCATGACCTGAGCTGAAATCAAAAGTCGGATACTTAACCGACTGAGCCACCCAGGCAGCCCTAGGATCTCTTTATATTCTTAAAAAAAAAAAACCTGTGTATGTGTGTGTATGTGTGTTTATTTTTTTGAGGGAGAGAAAGAGAGAGAGAGACAGACAGTAAGCTGGGGAGGGGCAGAGAGAGAGGGAGAGAGAAATCCCAAGCAGGCTCTGTGCTTTCAGCACAGAGCCTGACGTGGGGCTTGAACCCACGAACTGTGAGCTTATGACCTGAGCTGAAAGCAAGAGTCGGGTGCCCAACTGACTGAGCCACCCAGGTGCCCCTCTTTACGTTCCAAAGAAGAACATGTGTATATGTGGGTTATGGGTATTGGTATTTGCTGTAGTGGAGCACACACATTCCATTAAGTGTCGGTGATGACATCACAGGTATGCAGCCTCTGGAAAACTCTTCTCCTGAGAGAATGAACTCACAAGAAGACAAATGATGGGTTATGAATGCGAAACATTTTGATCTTGCGGTTCCCGGAAACAGTGGCAGGGACTCTTTGAGGTCCTGGGGCTACACCTTGACACCACCGTGTTGACTCGTCATCGTAGTCCTTGCTAAACGTAGGCACTGTTCCAAATACCAGGCCACATCGGTCTCGTTACCTGAGGAGAGTGTCCATGAGCCACTTGTCGTCTGTGAGATAGGTGTTGTTTTCCCAGCCCCATTGTACAGAGGAAACAACAGTAGTGCAGGGAAATTGGGTATTTTGTCATCAGACCTACAAGGGATGGGAACGAGCCTTGGAGTCCGGGAATCCAAGCTCAAGGGTCCCTGGTGGTAGTAACATCAATGACATTTAAGGTTGACAGTATGAAACTGCAATTTTTGTAGGTCAAAAATGGTTGAGTGTTGACTCTTCCGTATGGTTCAACCTAACGATAGTACCCAGTAAGTGTGCCGGGGTGGCCCTAAGTATGTGTATCTCCCACTCCCTGAGTTTAATCGTCACAGCAAGACTGAGACAGGTACAGGGGAGACTGAGGACCGGAAGTGTCTCTGCTAGTGAGAGGTGGCGCTGAACTCACATGCCGGCACCCTGCTCTTCACGGCCTGGTGGCGGGCCTGAGCCCTTCAGGGGCCTGCACAGAAACCCGGGCAAGTTCATTAACCTCGTCACTCACATCCCGCATAACGTACATTCTTCCCAGAAGACTTAATCCCGGGCCGGTATGCCTGACCTCGGCCACTCTGAGAATGTAAGGGCCAGCTTTTGATACCGTGGGGACTGGAATGGGGTCTGCCCAGCCGTTGCGGGAGGTGTTGCTTTGACAGGTGTGGCAGAAGTGCAGTTAGAGATGCTCACACTGAGGGGGGTGAAGGGTGGGAGGATGTCCTAGAGCTGCCCGCCTGTGCGGCTTCATAAAACTCCACCCTGGTGCAGACCCTGACCCCCAAACAGGGTGGGGTGCCCTGGTGTGCGGGCTCTAGAGCATAGCCTCCAGTATCTCGGGGGTCACGGTGGGGATCCAGGGTCAAGGTAGCTTGGACCACAGTGTTCACCTTCATCTCGGTCTACTTGTCTCCACAGGGACTTTAAAAGCAAGAATGTATTGCTCAAGAGCGACCTCACAGCCGTGCTGGCTGACTTTGGTCTGGCTGTTCGGTTTGAGCCAGGGAAACCGCCGGGGGACACTCATGGGCAGGTAATAAGCCTCAGGGGGGTGCAGGACGGGGGCTGGCACAGGAGCGGACCCTGCCCTTCTCATGCCCAGCTGGCAAGACACAGGGGCAAGGGCACTGAGCTCAGAGCTGTCCGAGAACTCCAGGAACAACGCTTGTTTTACCAGTGGGGAAAGCAAGGCCTGGAGGGCGGCCTCGCCTCGGAGGCTGGTTTGTCAAACATAGCTGCTCCGTTGGGGTCAGCTCTCAGCCTTGTAGCCTCGGTCTCTGTCTCTTTCAGCGGAATTACTAAGCAGTATAAAGTAGAAGGAACTATACTAAGAATCCAAAAACCTAGAAAAAGTAGCTAACAGTTAAGCCTGAGGAAATCATCCTAAAACAACTGCTGTAAATATCTTTAATCTTTACCCTCTTGGTTTTTGATCTTAATCTCGGTAAAGCAGACACCGTCTAGGCAGCCCCTTGTGCTGGCGGAGTAAAGAGGCAGCAGTTCCAAATTAGATTATTGTTGTCTCGAGTGTGATATTTTTAAGTTATTCCTGAGGTATAATAGACACCATGACTTCTTGTGACCTCCCCGTGAATGTGGCGAATCACGGGTTGTCCTCCCTCGTGGTATGGTCTGAATGCTGCCATCCTGGCCCCGTCTGGTGCACTCAGGAGGTAGCTCTCGTGTCCAGCTGTGAGTACGTTTGTGTGTGGCCACTGGTACCCTCTCCTGTCCTCCTCTAGGTGGGCACGCGGCGTTACATGGCCCCTGAGGTGCTTGAGGGAGCCATCAACTTCCAGAGAGATGCCTTCCTGCGCATCGACATGTATGCCATGGGGCTGGTGCTGTGGGAGCTTGTGTCCCGCTGCAAGGCCGCGGACGGTGAGTGGGACGGGAGCCCCGGGCATGCAGGGCGTGGGACGGGGAGCAGCGAGTCCTTGGGGTGACCCTGCTGGGCTCTCTCTCGCCCCCCCCAGGACCCGTGGACGAGTACATGCTGCCCTTTGAGGAAGAGATCGGCCAGCACCCGTCACTGGAGGAGCTGCAGGAGGTGGTCGTGCACAAGAAGATGCGGCCCGCCATTAAGGATCACTGGCTGAAGCACCCGGTGAGGGGCCTGGGTGGCAGGTGACTCTGCAGGGGCACAGAGAGGGGAGCCCCTCCATATGTGACAGGAACCTGAGGTCGAGGGATCATGGGATAGAGAGGATGCCTCACAGGCAGCCGGACAGTCCTCTCCTCCCCTGCCTGGTCAGAGGCCACTTAGTGCCCTGCCTCCCTTCCACGGGAAAGTATCTGGGGAGGTTTCGTGCTGGCCGGGGAGGTGGCTCTGGGTTTGGGCCCAGAGTAAGGGGGCCTGACCGGTCCATCAGGGCGCCCCCATGTGGACCATTTGTGCAGGGGAGCCGACTGGCCCTCGCCCTGACGCGGTGTGGGTTTGAATCCTGGATCTGCCAATCAGTAGCTGGGTGACTTCTGGCAGCTTTCTTTCTTTCTTTGTTATTTATTACTTATTATTATTTATTATTTGTTTATTATGTATTATTATTATTTATTTATTACTTATTTATCATTTATTTATTTATTGCTTTATTTCTCTGAGCCTTTGCCTCCTTAGGGTAGTAGTAGATTTAACTGGTTACTGTAAATGGCTTGGCAGGATACTTGTCGCGTAAATGCTTAATATGGACTAGCTCTAATTAAATATTCTCTGTTCTCTGCCTTCATTATTTTCTGGGCACGGGCTGAGCCGTGAGTCTTGGCTCCTCCAGTCTGGGGATACTGTACAAAAGACCCCAGCAATGTAAGCCATTTCCCTCTTGGAAGGATGTTTGCCTTTAGCTCCTTTGAGCCCCTCCCTCTGCTCACCTCAGGGTTAATTTATTTTTTTTTTTATTTTTTTATTTTATTTTTTTATTTTAAAAAAAATTTTTTTTTCAACATTTATTTATTTTTGGGACAGAGAGAGACAGAGCATGAACGGGAGGGCAGAGGAGACATGCATCGAAATAGAGGCTCCAGGCTCTGGCCATCAGCCCAGAGCTCGACGCCAAGCCTCGGACGGATCATGAGATCAGACCTGGCTGAAGTCGGGCCAAGAACTCCCATCATGCCAATCTTGTACTTAAGGGTTAATTTAGAAACAGGATAGCCTTGAGGCCATTGGAGGCTAGCACCCTACCCTACATACCATCAGGGGTCAGGCTGTTGAGGCCAAGTTCAGCTTTGTGTGCGTTTCCTGGAACCTCTCAGAAAACTGAGACATGGGGAGATGTAGGCTGGGCCAGAGCCCATGCCTTCTGCCTCAGTCTCCCAGGGCAGACATGCTGGGGTGGCTGGTCCAGTTCCCTGATGAGGAGCCCGAGGCCCAGAGAGGTTTCGGGGTGGCCTGGTGCTGGCGGTAGCTGAGTCCCGGATGTAAGAGCTTGCCTTTTCCTGGCACCACTCAGTGTGAGCCAGCATAGGGTGTCACGCTACATGCCCTGGACTCTCAGGAGGGGTCCAGGGTTGTAGTCCCTGGGTGCCCTTCCTGTGGTCCCCACTGTGACTGAGGCTGCACTGGTCTACGATTTGACCACATGATTTTGTTTGAATATCACTGCCCTAAGGCAAGCAGCTGTGTCTGTCCCAAGAGGGGCCTGGGTTCCGCCTCATCCATAAGCTGAGGCTGTGGAGGGAGGCCAGTAGGGTCAGGATGGCGGCTGCTGGGTGGGAAGGCGTCCTGATTCCTGCGGTCTCCCCCGGGCCTCTGCTGGTTGACCTGCTGCTGGGGCTGGGACCAGGGGGCTCTGCCTGACCCTCGGTCACATCTCAAGTTTGCCCGTCCCCCATGCTTTTCTTCACTGAGGGGCACCGTCAGTAACAAGGCTGTCCTCTCCCTCTCCCTGCCGACGTGCAGGGCCTGGCCCAGCTCTGTGTAACCATCGAGGAGTGCTGGGACCACGACGCGGAGGCTCGCCTGTCTGCGGGCTGCGTGGAGGAGCGCGTGTCCCTGATCCGGAGGTCGGTCAACGGCACTACCTCGGACTGTCTTGTCTCCCTGGTGACCTCCGTCACCAACGTGGACCTGCCCCCTAAGGAGTCGAGCATCTAAGCCCAGGACACGAGTGGATCTGAAGAGGAAAGGAAAAAAAAGTTGTGTTTTGTTTTGGAAATCCCGTAACACCAACAAACACATAAAATGCAGCTGCTATTTTACCTTGACTTTTTATTATTATTATAATTATTATAATTATTATTATTAATATTATTTTTGGGATTGGATCAGTTTTTACCAGCACATTGCTCTACTGTATCGCAAACAGCGGGCACGTCAGCAGGCGTTGAGGTGCTGAGCTGTGAATGCAGAACCAGCGCCATGCTGAAGAGCCTCAGCCACCTCCTGTCCCTTGGGGTTCATTTTTCCCACTTTCTCTTTGTCTGTTGTCTCAGAATCTGTGACACAAAGAAACCCATCTCCTGTCTTAGGAAACTTAATGCTGCAAACTCTACCTGGAGGAACCTTTGAAGACTGTTACATAAGAACACACCTTCCTCCGAGGAGGACTCTCCCCCTGCCCTCACCCCCTTCTCCGCTCCCTTTTATTGTTTCTCTCCCTTTTTAGACAGCGAGTTTAAGAAACAGCAGACGTGTCTTTCACGGATTAACGGGTGTTGCCCTGACCGAGGCGGAGCTGGGCTGAGGATGCGGATGGTTTGGACCGGAGTTGGAAGGGGAGGGCAGAGCTGGGGATGGGGTTTGGAGCAGAGCGACACTGGACTCGGGCACACCCGGAGCAACATCCTTTGCTAGGAGGCTGCTTCTCAGGTAACCAGGAATCGAGGGGAAGGACCGTGTGGAGGCCGCGCGCTCACAGCCAGAGCGGGGTCTGGAGAAAGCCTGAGAGCGGGTGCGGCTCTGACCCGTTTTCTCCCCCTGCCTCGGGCTGGGGCGCTGGACAAAACATTTTCTCTGCCCTAATTTTAAGGTTAGGTGAGGGTAGAAATCCTCATGCTTCAGTGACTACGTTCTTCTTAAGACGATGCTGTAAATACGTGTAATGGAGGAAGAAGTTAAAACACAGGGCTTCCTCCCGGAACAGTTCAGGGAAATGCCCACGGGGTGCCCCGCACAGCCAGGGCAAGAAGATTCCCTGGGTGGGGCTGCCACCTGAGAGTCCTGCGGCGCTGGCTCTGCCCTGTGTGGTGACACTGCTGTCCCTTTACGTGGCTCGTGCGCACGGCTTTCTCCAGACCCCTCGAAGAGGTGCATATTCTAAGAACCGTTTCTCTATTATGCCATAACCTTGCTCTAGTCAGTGAATGTTCCTAATGCTGCTGTTTCAACATTTGAATTTTTTTAATTTATGAAACATGCAAATTTTTTTAAAAACGAAACACACGTCCGCATATACACACATGCTTTGCTATGTGGCTTCCGAGGTTTAAATTTTGAAAAGTAAAAAGAATGAAAACTTCACGACCACAGACCACCTCAAACCAGAAATACCTCAGAATTTTCTACTTGTGTAAGTTTTATTATATATTTTATTAGTTGTGTTGTCTCGTAGTAAGTATATTTTAATGTAAGTTGGCTTTTATGACAAGGAAGTTTGAAAGAAATAGAGAAAAAGAAAAAAAGTTTGAGTCTTCTAGGGAGTGCTACCATTTTTGTTTGATAACGCCCTCTTGTAAATAATTGTCATCAGCTGTCGGTTGGCCGTCTGGGCCGTGTGGGCATTCGTCACTCTTGTTTGCGAAGGCTTTTCCCTCTGGTTTCTTGAGACTTTTATTTAAAAACTGGATCTTTTTCATCCTGAGGGTAGGCGAGTTGGTGAGGTTTTGGGGAGAGGTTGACTGGGGTGAGAATGGGAGAGGGGTGCCTCCTCTTGACTGACTTGGAGGTTCACATCTTTCCCTCTACCCGATTGGTCAGTGTTCAGAATGGCAGGTAACCCCACTTTCACTTGGTTCAGACCGTGGCCCTTAGACCCGCTTGAGGTAATTTTCCTTGGGCGGCAGTGATAGCGGAGGGGGCGGGCAGCACTGCGGCGACTCGGGGCAGCCTGTGACGGAGCAGCGTGTCCAGAGTGGTGAGTCCTCGCTGCGGCCTGGGGTCGCGGTCTGAGAGCACACGCTCCCCACTCCGCACGCCGTGTGCCTCTGGGGCCTGCCACTTGGTCGTGTCCTTTGCTCTGCGTGTTTGGGCACAGGGTGCTGTGGGAGGTGACTTTGTGGCCCTCCCAGAGCTCTGTTTTTGCTTCATGGGCCAGGCTGTGAGCTGGCCAAGGTGGTTATAGGGACAGGTCTTTTGTCGTCGTCGTTGCTGTTGGGTTTTTTTTTTTTTTTTTTTTTTTTTTTTTTATTCTTTTCTTTTTCTTTCTTTTTTTTCTTTAAAAACTATTTTGTGCTGTGGTATTTTTCTTCCCTCGGAATAATTTTTAACAGCAAAACCGGCCTTACAGCAGTTGCTTTTCTTTTCCACTTATTTCTTTAAAAAGCTTTAAAATATTTATTGAAAAGTGCCATATCTAATTTCTTTAGCTTTCACCTCAGGCAGTGCATCTCTACTTTTCCGGCATCTGCTTTTCACCCTCAGAAACCAACAAACCGCTAACGTATGTAGCTGATTCACTCATTCTAGCCAGTGTGGGACACGAAACCCCTGCCTCTCCATTTGTTTTCAGATTTTGTCTGGGTGAGTTTTCTTTCATGTACCGGCTTGATCCTTGTAAGAACCAGTTTGGGCCTGGCCGTGAAGGGTTGGGCCGTAGCCCAGGCGTGGGACCTGCTGGTCAGGACGCAGTACAGACAGGGCAGGCCTTCCTGTTGGCCTACAGGCCTTTTATCTGGGTGGGCTCCCTCTTTGCTGACCCTGGGCTCTGCTGCTGTGGTGGCTTTGGGGTCCTGGCACCAGAGTGAAGTGTCGAGATGGTTCCTGTCTGGTGGGGGGGGGGGGGGTCTCGGGGGACCAGTTCTTCGGGCTTCAGGCTGCCTTTCCCTCGTGCTGTGTCGTAAAACGTACCCATCAGGCAGTATCCCTGACTGCTGCCGATGGCAGAAGAAGAAAAAAGATCTTTTTCCGGGGCACGCCCCTCGGAGCCTGGGTGGGTCTTTTGCCTCAGATAAAGTGTCTGCTGTCATGTATCCTTTGGGGAGCGAACCACTTAGAGCTCTGGTTTGTGTTTATCGGGTTGCAGGGCCTCTGCCTGTGCTCTTTTCCACAAAGATGTCACGCAGTGTCCACTTCTGGGGAGCTCAGAGAACCACTCCCCCTCACCCCCTGAGCTCTTGTGGAGACTGGTGGGAATGGAGTCTGGCATCATTTTCCCTGTCTGTGGGAGAGGCTGCCCCATCTAGGGTGGGAGGGTGGCCAAGTCAGGGGAGAGAAGTGGCCAAAGATCCTTGCTCCTTCCTTTCTAGTGTTCTTCCATCCACACAGGCTCCTGGCTGTAGGCTGCTCTTTGGGGGAGAGTGTATTATTCGAAAGCACACATGATCACTGGGAAGACATCCTGAGCCAGAGAAATACGGGAATGAGCAAGAGGAGGAGGAAGCAAGGGGGGGGGGGGGGCGGAACAGAAGCCACTGTGTCACAGTGTCCTGCAAAGAACTCTTAATGATGGGCCAGGAGAGGCCCTGGACACAGTCCTTAGGGACTAGCATCATCCAGGTTTTCTCCTGGGACCATTGGCCCCTCACAGGAGTCCTTCGAGGGAGCTACTCTGTGAGGGCTGTAGGTGGAGCCTTCTCGGGAGGAAGGGAGGCGGGCTGTCAAGGCAAGTGATGAGCATCTCCGGCCTTCGTTGTTTAGCATGGCTTTCTTGTCCCATTGGTTCTGTAGGTGTAGTGCCTGGAGCGATCAATGCTGCCTGGGGAGGGGATCCCCGCGTGTGCTGGCTGTGTCTGACCCAGAATTCCTCCTGTCTAGACGTGGGCATGTGTGTAGGACAATAGACGTCTTGTTCAGCTCAGAACATCTTCAGGTGGCTTGAGCCTCCTGCTGATGTATTCTCAGCCCAGTGAAGGATCTGTCCTCTCCAGGCCACTGAGCTAGTTCCCTCCACTGCCCCTAGGGGCCAGGCCATTCTTTTGTCAAGCTTGTCATGTCATGTTTTAGAAAGCAAAGCAGGTGTTCCTGCAGTTCTGCGAGGTTACCTTTCTCTCCAGTTGCCATGTTCTTGCTCCTTGCTATCCCTACACTCTGCACTGAGCGCTTGGGCTGTGTGTGGGGGGTTTCTTTGGTGGGAAGCCCAGCTCTGTGTGTGTGTGTGTGCGTGTGTGTGTGTGCGTGTACGTGCGTGTGTGCATACTTGCTGTGTGTACAGCTCAGAAAGCCTGTCACGTGGTCCCTGTGCTCTGAGCCATGAGGGTAGGGAGGCGGCTGTGCCATCTGGAACAGGAGGACCGGGTGGCCCTCTTGCAAATGGAATTCTGCCTTTCTTAGGATGCAGTGTAAAGTTCTCAGCACATTGGTAATATAAGGATTTGGTGGTTTTAGCAATACAGTAAGCATGTGTTAAGTTATATAAGGTTTTAGAATGGGTACTAGAAGTCGAACAGCCAAGTGTTATTCCTCAGAACTTGGCTCACTAGATGAGTATCTGAATTGGAAACCATTTCCCAGGAGTTAACTTCGTTTGATCCTCAGTCTCAACTATTTCAGTAGCCTTCTGGGTTCTTAATGGCTCATCTTTGGAAATCTGGCCAGACCCAGTTCACATTTCAAGGGCCTCCTAGACCACATCTTTCCAAGAAGCACAGTCAATTTACTCGTCGACACCCCCACCCCACCCCCCATCCAGGGTGAGCATCGAGAAAGGAAAGAGGGCAAAGGTGGTTTTTTCTTCTCATTTGGGTGCCATGAATTCCTTGGTTAATGGCTGTTTGTAAAAGCTAAACTAATAAAATAGTAGCTAATCCGTGTTCAGCCTAGTAATGACGAGTTTAAGTCTTTATCAACAGTGACGTTTTAGGTCAAGAAACGGGCCCAGTAATGCAGCTGATGAACTATTTATCTTCTCAGCCTAGATCTAATAAATTCAGGGTTATATGCATGGTTGTTTCAGTAAGATTCCTGATAGTTGATTTGTAACCAGCAATCCACCTATGAATGTATCCCAAACCTTTAGAAGGCTTGGAATAGTTTTTTAAGATAACGATTTAGTTTTGTAGCAAAAAGAAACTGAAGTTTAAGATGCACCCACCCACCACCTCCCCCGCCCCCGCCTGGAAATTAATTCAGTTGACTCAGCTTCCTTTTGAAAACAGTGGGTCCAAGAGACCCATAAACTCAGCAAATAAAATTCCAAATTATCTAGAGGGATATTTTGAATCTTCCTATTTTATACTCATTTTGGGTCCATTGTAAACTTTGGTTTGGACAAGATTTTGAATTTAAAGGATTTACCACTGTTTAAATTTTACCAAGCTTTTACATTTTTGTGACTGTATCTTCCAGGTGTGAATGAAGCAGGACCTTTTGACTGTGGTCCTCCACGTATCCCTGTAGTGCCAAAACCAGTGATACTTTATTTGCTCCTGTGGCAGCTTGCAGAGATAAATACAAGTGGTTTTTCCTCACAAATTAAAGTGCATAGTCTCTAAATGCCAGTGTGTGGTGAAGGGCCCTGTGCTGCCCTTCCTCTCCGGGAGTGTCTGTGGACTGTCTGGGGCCTCCGCAATTCTGAGAACCACTGCATGCCAACCACAGGACCCTAGAGAAGCATATGCTTGGGCACATGTGTGTATGCAGCGGATTATCCAGACGTGGGCCCTTCTGGACATCTGTGGGAAAGTGTTACATTTATTTGCAAAGTTTACATTTTTGAGCTCACAGTTAGGAGAAACATGACCCATTATTAGCTAATGCTTTTTAGGCAGGTGAGGATGGGTTTGTGTTTGGTTTTTTGGTTTTTGTGTGCGTGTTTTTGTTTTTGTTTTTGTTTTTACAGATGGATGAGTTCTGTCTCGAGTTCTGGGAACTTCTGATGTTGGTTGGGCATGGGATCATTCTCTGTTTCTCCCAATCCCATTTGCATCGGAATGTTGTTAGGTAGCGTTGTAAATAAAAGAATAGGTTATATGATAGAGATATGACACTTGAAATTTTACTTTAAAAGATCTATAGCTCTACATATATATTTAGTTATATCACCTGACAGATTCTTCTGCACAGTGTGGAGATTGTTTTATACCACAGATTATTTTTATAAAGTCTAGTGAGTTTGATGCGAATGGTTTTGTAATCAGAGTAATGAGCTTTACCTTTCAGGATAAATATACACTGGAGTGTGGGTGGTGCGGGGCTTTTACCTAGTGCTTGTATGGACTCTCGTGATACACTGGCAGATGGGAGGCCATTCGCTGGGTCTTGTTTGGCTAAAACCCCGCTTGGGGCTGTGTGGGACGGTGATGCTTTGGCTCAGCTCCCTGCAGATTGGGAGGCGAGAGCCTGTGGTATGTTTTACATTTGTGCTTCCTCCTGAGATACCTTCTGAACAAAGGGTTCTGGGATTAGAAATTAGTTTGTGCGTTCCTGCCGTCGGATGTAGTCGTATGAGGGTGTTTTGAGGGACAGAAATTATATGGGAGTGCAGATTGGGGCGGGTTGGGATGAATAAGGTTCAGGCTATAAACATTTGAAATGAGAGTTTGGGGATTTGAGTAATCCACAACACTGAATTATGCAGGACCAAATTACCCAGTTTTTAAGACAGAATTTCCAGTTTAGTAACTACTCAGAAAAGGAGGGCGTTGTGTGGATGCAGCAATCAAGTTAAATGGGGAGCTGCCAGGCACATTGTGTCCTCTCTGGTCGGGGCCTCCTGGACGTGAGAGTGCTTGGGGCAGCTCCCTGCTTTCATCAAGCGAGTCACAGCCAGGAGCCCTCCGAGGAAGCTCAGAGCCCTGTACCAGAGGGCACCTTCTAGCTGTCACTTAGCCCTTCTGCTCTTCCTGCAAAGGTCAGCACGACTGCCATGGTTATGGATGGTGGTCTTCATGTTAGCCTTTTTATTTTGGGGTAGAATGTGGGTGGTTATTTGGGTGAGGCTTTTGATGGGGATACGGGGAAGGTGAACAATGAAGCTAATCTTCGTATCGCCACTGCCACTTCTGAGGCTCAGCTGAAGGCCTGCTCCCCAGACCCATGCCGCTGTGCTCAGAAGTACATGGATTGGGACAGTTTTGTCAGGAGCATCCCTAACGTGCCATTTTAAACCAGCTGTGTTTTTATTCAGTCTGGTTCAGAGTGAAGTTTTACGCTCTACCCCTTTTCTACTCGGAATAAGTTTAGTGTCAGCAGGTGCAGTAGCGCGCCAGGAACTGACCCATCGTTCCTCTCCCTGTTCCCCATGAAAGAACGTTTCTCTGTTCTCCAGCCACGCGTCTCGGAATGTAATTCTGTTGTGCCTTGGTTTTTGTCACCTGCCTCCCCCCAAAAGCAACTGCTGTAAGCTTTTTTCTGCTTGTCTTTTCTAGCCCGAAACCCCACCTTTTTCCTTTTTCCCAGCTGTAATTTCTGGATGCAGTTCTGTGCTCCAGGTATTGTAAGAACCAGTTACCTCAGACCTCATGTTGAACAGTGTCACCATCTGGGTCCTCTCGGTACTGCAGGCTTGTAACATCACGCACGCAGGAACCCTGCCAAGTATGGGCACTTACTTGTTTTAAAGTTAAACTCTTCCCAAGGACTGAAAGAGGGGCTTCTGGCAAGCTCTTCACTGCACTGTGGTGGGATGGGTCTAGAGTGTCATCTGAACGGTGCTTCCTGGGTTCCTCTTTGAATTCTGCCATTTTCAGTATTCTTGTGTCTGCATAGGCAAAGTGATTCAATTGGCTGGTCTTGCACACAAACTAGTTCCAAAGATGAGCTCTTTGTAACACATTTCCAGTCATTAAAACTCAAATGTAGAACATTCCTTTAAATGGCAGGATTAAAAAACCCACCATCCACCACTGTGCATTTTGGGAAGATGTCTGTAGCATATGTTGCTGTGAAATTAGGCCTTGCGGGATATGGCTGTTTGTCATTTTGATGTATTTTAAATAAATATATATATATATATTTTTAAAGAGCCTTTTTTACCAGTTCAAAAAGTTTAATTAACCAGCAGTCACCACATCTGAATTCTTGTCTCTGGGGCATAGATGGCAGACCAAGATTAAAAGTGGTAATTCAGCCATACGAGCGTGGGCTGCCTGCCTGGGCTGTCCTGCTGACCGTGGGATGCCAAGGTCAGTGTGTTCCCGGCGGGTTCTGATCAGCCCTCGAAGTGTTTGGTCTCTGCCCTGGTCAGCGGACTGTTGACTTCAGTCCCTGCAAGTGCTTTACTTTAGCCCAAGTGGGGTTTTCTCAGAGCACTGCCACAAGCTAAGTGTACGTTTAGCCAAATAATTTCTCCATAAGGGAAAAATGCGCTCATTCAAACGTTACCAGCGATGACAGAAGTGAGAGTAGGAAAGATTAGGCAACATCTGGGTTTTGATTTGGAAAGTGTCCAAGTCCCTGTCGAAGGCTGGCTGAGAGCCAGTGATCATCCAGAGAGATGCTTAGGAGACCCCACCTGGAAGTGTTCAGACCTCCTGTGAGTGGAGGGATTGTTAAAACGCCAGCAGCTTTTTCCCCCCGTTTTTTTTCCCCTAGAATTCTGTAAAAATGCAAAGAAAATTGAGTGGTACTTAAGAATTGAGGGTGAGGGTTACCGCAGAATAGAAGCATACTTCTAGATTTCAGTTCCATGCCACAAATCCACACAATGCCATTTTTCAACTGTACAAAAGAATCTGCTTATGAATTTGACATGATCTTAACAGTAGCATCAAAGGGCCGAATTTTTCACCTGTTAATATTTTTTCACATTTGTCCTTGAATCTGATAACTTCACAGTACTGTAAATTTAACTTACCTTGAGTTTGATGTCAATTCTTGTGAAAAGAGCTTCTGCATGTAACAGACACACAGTTAAAGAACACAGCAGAATACAAGATTTGCAGGACCAGTTTTGGAACCGACAGAAAATGTCACCTCTCATTTGCCATCTTATGTATCAGTTTTACCAGCTACTTCTAAATTTGTACATTATTTGTAAGGAAAAGAAGGAAGATCCTAAGGACTTGTCTAACTTAGTGGAGAATGTGTGTGTTGGGTTTAGGATGGATAGCAAAGTCTTACTGAGCTGTGTTATCTAACTTGTATATAACAATTGTAATTAAAAGTTTGGATTCACCTGTTTCTTGCAGTTTAAAACAATGAATAATTACAAACTCTGGAAATGTGACTAGTATACAACTTAAGGCTGTAGAAGTGAGGAAGCTCTTCAAGTGCTAAAAATAAAGATTTCTAGTTTTTGGCTCAAATTCAGTAAGTACTGTTTGTATACCAGGATATGTGAGATGTAAATGTAATAGGTCACTTTCACCCTTGTAGCTATAAAATAAAAAATTTGTAGAACAGAAATAGCTTGTACTACTGAATTAACAAAAAGTTATACTAAAGTATCATGTTTAAAATACACACACACACACACACACACACACACACACACACACACACAGAGTTAAGCTTGTTGCTGTTACCCTGTCTGGATTTGAAAAGTGTGCGGACTTATATATACACACACATATATATATATAACACACACGCATATACACACGTATATATATTATATACATGCACACATCTAAAATGGCCTAAAGCAGACATCCATGTAATTACAGTTGCAAAATGAAGACATTTTGGAAAGAACATTGTATCATAGTTCATTCATTTGCAGTGGATCTTTGTTCCTTTTTACTGTGGTAATTTTAGAAATGAGTGTCAAGTTTGAAATTAGATCTGCTAAGTTGGGGTTTTGCTGCTTGAACTCTGCACTGGGTCCTCAAATAAACCGATGTGAATGTAGTTTTTTCCCCCTGTGTGAAGAAGCAGCCACACCCCAACAGAATAGGAGGAAAAATCTAGAGCTATTTCAAGTTTTATCTTTTTGTATATGAAAATAAAATAATAATAATTAAACTACCCTGTTGTCTCTCTTAATCACGTGGCAGGGGATTGAGGTTTCTTTTCATGGGGATTAGAAATAAATATAATGGTGTTTTCCACTTACAGAGCTGACTCAGAAACACCCCTGTGAGTTCCTGTGTGGTACACGTACAGTTGTTAATGGTTGCGTACGTAGTCTACCATGGTCCTGTGGTACTGGAGCTCGGCACGGGTCTTCATTTCTGCCCTTCAGAAGCTCAGGACCTAGTTGGAGACACTGTGGGCTTCTAAATGGACTGTCCTGGGACTCAGGGTAAGTTCCTGCAGGGTAGGGGTATATTTACCAAATTTCCAACTTTTACCCACTCCCCCTAGTTCTATACTTTGCAGACAACTCTGGGCAATATTTTTGTAAGTGGAGCAGAGAAGCCTAGGATATAAGTGTTATTCTGGATTACTGCGGAATACGGGCTCTGCCATTTCTAAACACAGCTGAGTATCAGGGTCACTGTAAAATCAAACAATATAGTTATGGGGCACCACCCCAGATCTGAATCAGTAAGCCAGGTCTCACGTTTTGGAGTTCTTGACTTCCCTCACTAGATGAAAACATGGTTCCCTGTTAATAAAACAACAATAGTCTCTATTGTCTAACAAAGAAAACGGGAAAGCCCCAGAAATCACTGCTTTCCTCAGTAACATAGGTTTTTTTAGGCCCGTGACTAATAATTGCTAAGTGGGGAAATGCCAGCTTTGGATCCTCCTCCTGGTAGGGTTAATGCCTTTCTATTCGTGCTTTAAAAGGATTAAACAACCTGTTTGGAACTCTTAGCAGTTTTCAATGAAGGGACCCTTTATTTTGGGACCAATTGCCCAGCTCTTGGTCCATTCGGCTCTTTCAGATTTAGATAGTTCACCTTTTACTAGTGAATGTCTCTAATGATAAGTGCAGAGAAGGAAAGAAAGGCTGACCTTGTGGAATGAGGACCTTAAAGCTAGAACTACTGGAAGGTTGGACCCGAGAGGTCATCTGGTCACACTTCTCCTTCAGCAAAGGAATTCTTTCACCAGAAGGAACTGGACGCAGAAGCTGATTTCTAAAAACAGGCTTGCTCAAGTGAGCAAGTACAAGAGGGTGCAGGGGCCATTAAGCCTGCCCTTCCACTCCTTCCCTTAAGTCTCCTAGTTACAGTCCCCTAGTTACAGTTCAAAAACCACTGCTCCGATTCCTTCATTTTAAAGGGGGGCAAACTGGCCCAGAGGGAGATACCCTACCCTAAGTCAGGCAGCCCTTACTTCCAGCTCTTGACCTCCGGGGGCCAAGTGAGGGGTTCACTGTTGTTTCCACATACAGGATCTGGATGAGGAACCGTCACCTCCCATTTATCTCTGGTGTCTATCACAGCACACGGCACTTAGGAAGGCCTTGAGCAACAAACACCTCTTGAATGTAGGTCGTAAATTCTGGTACAAGTTGCTGAGGTAGCTTTGAAACCTATGGTCAACACCAGTGCTGTCTGGTTGTATTTGTCGGGACTCTTGATTGCAAATGACAGAAGCCATTAAACAAAAAAAGGGGGGGTCGTGGTTACACGAAGGATCCTGGGGCAAAGGGCCAGGCAAGCTTTGGTAAAGGCAAGATGCAACCGGGCTTCAGGCGTCTTGGAAGCTGGGATCACAGCACGGCAGCCCTCCGTTTCCTCCTGGGTTGCTTAGCGCAAAACCAGATGCATCTGCTTTGTCCACTTAGCGGGAAACAAGGCTACAGATGGTGCCAGACTTTCAAATGTCACAGCTCTGCTACCTGGAGAGTCTTGCAGATCCACAATCCCTGGAAACATTCTGGTTGACCTAGCTCAGCCAATTAGGGTCAGAAGTAGGGGACTGATGATACGGAACCGCTTTATAATAGGTATTCCTGGGGAGGGGACATGGAATCCGGAAGCTGTCAAAACAACATCTGTACTTCCTTCCTTAGCTGGATGTCGGGAAGGCCTCCTGCTTAAGTCCACATGGAGTGCTGTCGATTGCACTGCAAAATGTGTTTTGAGTGGGAGTGCATAGAACATCTCCTTACTTACTTTGTCAGCCGTCATTCAGCAGTCTGGATTTTGTGTTCTATCAAGACAAAAGAGGACTACGTAAAAATCGCTGATGTTTACAGAGCACTTAGTGACATACCCCAGGTTCTTCCCTAAACTCCACATGGCAATCTTTATTTTATTTTATTTTTTTAATTTGTATTTATTCTTGAGAGGGAGACAGAGACAGAGCGCGAGCAGGGGAGGAGCAGAGAGAGAGGGAGACACAGAATCCGAGGCAGGCTCCA